AACAAAAAAATGCAACTATACTGTTTCAAGAGGATGAAAATAATATTCCAAAAAAAAATCCCAATAAACTTTTTAAATGAATGCCAAATAAAGAATATCGTCGGCAGCATCATCATCATTTATTAGCCTTGTCCCAACTGTTTCCGTGAATATCAAATAAAGAAAGATGGTACCCAATATTAGTGTTGATTTATGAACCAATGAAGGTCCAATGAAATTAATTCAAATTAACACCACTAGCTCTTATTCAAATACTAACTTACTGGCATCTACAGATATAGCGGATACGAGAGGACCATAGGTTCCACTTGTAGGGATGTTTGTTGTTCCTTTGCCAGCCCAATGGAACCGAATCTCCAATTTATTCTGTGTAACAATTGCATCAAACTTCTTAACAACTGCTTTACCTGACCCATTAGCCTCAGCTTTGACATTGAAGTCTTTCAAAACAAGTTCTCCCTGTGAAAAAGCAGTATAAATGAAGAGCGAACAACTATATTTACACAAAGTATCAAAATGACTATGATTTTACGCTGTACCTGTATGTAAACATCAAATAGTCTCCTACCAGGGCTGCTATGCCCATTGTAATCAATGATTATTATCTCCGCGAAATGCAGCTTAACACTATAGTTGCCATTTATAAGGCAGAGTCCATAATAGCTAAGAGATAGCGGTGAAACTCGTGCATTTGCATACAATTCAGAGTCGGGCATTGAAAGCTTCTGTGTAGTTCTCGCTATAAAATTGTTATTATCACCAGAATCCAGGAAACCACCAGTGCTACTAACTGCCCAGTTTGTACCCATATAAAATGTTGAGACACCTTCAGATACATAGTTATCGGACTCAAATATCAGGTTATCACCAGTAGTCACCTGATGTCCCCCACAATTTATATTCAATGACCGCTGTTCTGAGAGAAAAGTAGAATTGTGAGATGAAACCTATCTGATACTGGAGCTAGTAGGAAAATAGTGGAAATACAAAAATAACCTTTTATTAATATATAGATCGAGTTACAACACGACATAAATAGAAAATAACAATACTAGAACATAAAAAGGCACAAGCAAACACCTCTCTCGTATATTCCAACGGTGGTGGAGGCAGGCTAGGTGGGTCGGGATGGCTAGTGGGAGTGGCGGCAGCAAACAAATGCTGATGGCACCAAGGAAAAGGTGCATGATCGCAGGGACAACAAGTATGAAGAGTCATAGGTGACTGGAGGAAGGCGGAGGGGTGGTTGGAAGGTGTTGGACAATAAGAGCGGCGGTAATAGGGTGAGGAACGGTCGGTTGAGAGTGTTGGGAAGGTGAAAGGATGGCTGGACAACAGTAAAACCCACAAGAAGAGAGTCGGC